GATTCTTGGCACTTTATGCGTCCCGTGCATTTTGTGCCCAATCGCGTATTAAAGTGCCACCACTGCACTTCCCCCAACCCTTTTGTTGCAAAAGGGGTAGGCAGTGCCCAGTGATTACCACTGACTGTTAGGAAGGGATGTCAGGTAAAGATAAGGGGGAGCCTCCTCCTAAATCGAGGAAACCACCAGATTGACCGGGCGTATTGGAGAGGCCAATCGCCTACCGGGACATTTTCAATCCGGAGAGGGTGAGAGTTGTCTCATCACACTCCAAAATACCGACCCGCAAGCCTTCCTCGCCGGGTAAGGAGTCCACACCGAGGGCCGCACTCTCGCCCATCGTACCTGAGTGTACGACTGGGCGTGAACCGCTGCCCTCCCAACAACAGCGGCCCATGAAGACGTCATAAGGCACATACTACCTGAGACCGAAGCCTCCCTCCATGAGAAGAGGCAGCGCATCGGATCTCAAGATTCGTCAGATCCATCATCAGCATCATCGGTTGATGAGGAGCCCCAAGCAGCGACCAGGAAGAAGGTCCACACCTCACCTTCCAAGTCGCCATCACCACCACAACAACCACCATCCATGTCACCGGACCGACGCAGTAATGATTCGGCCCAATTTGAACAAGGAGGTGAGGAGTCTTACAGCTGGGGCTCTACAACATACGCAACCCTAGCTGCGTCAGCCGGAAGACCATCCCCGGTACAGACGACCAACCCGTCCGGGTTAGCTCTTGACGATGGACAGCGGCCGTCAACAAGCTATGCTCATATGGCTGCGGCCCCTGCAGTACCACGACCGCAATCGGCGGAGGAGCCTCAGAGAACTGAGAAAGAGAAGGAGAAATCCAGATACCCGCCGATTGTCACTGAATGCCTCCCGGACTGGACCAGGCATTTTGAGGTGCTCAATAAGAAATTGGGCCACCCTCCTAATGCCCGTCCGTTCGGGAATGGTGTAAGATTCGCACCCGAGAGTCAGGAGGAGTTTCGAACCATACAAAGATATATGGTCGAACTCTCCGAGAAAGTTCCAACTATGTCGTGGTATTGTTATACCCCGACAGATGAGAAGCCCACTAAAGTGGGCATCCGGGGCCTGCCAGTGGGCACCGATACCAAAATGATCGAGGAGGCTATCCGGGCAAAGCTTCCCCATCAACTATGTGTAGGATATACCACCACGTAGAGGCAGACCGGGCTGCCTCTACTACGCACAACTGGAGCATCTGAGCCTGGAGCGGCTTCAAGATCTCTACCGTATCGACGAGCTCCTCTACATGAGGAGAGTCGTCATCGAAGCCTGGCAGAGAAAGACGGGACCGGCACAATGTCACCGTTGCCAGTCTTTCGGACATGCCTCCGCAAACTGCTTCAGGCCAGTGAAATGCGTTCGCTGTGCCGGGGAGCATATTGCCAGCCTTTACCCTAGGGGTAGAGAGGAGGATCCAAAGTGCGCAAATTGCTCCAAAAACCACACGGTCAACGATCGCCGCTGCCCAGTCCTGAGGAGGATTGCCAGGAAGCAGGGGATCGTATTACCTGGGCTACTCCCGGAAAACCCTAAGAGGATCTCCCAGAGTCGCCCAAAAGCTGTTACCATCCAGGAGGATGGGTGGGCCATGTTCAACAGAGGAAAGGGTAGGCAACTAGACCCCCCACCCCCTCCCACAGCACCAATGGAAACGGTGGAACCCTCAGAGCAAAGGACAACCACCGGGGCGACCCTCCAACCTCCTGCCAACAATGCCACGGAGAGGCAACTCTCCCAAAGGAAGAGGCGGAGGAACAGGAGTAGAAAAACGGAACAGCCCCCTCCTCAGGCTGTGAGCACCCCTACCCCTACTACAGGATCGATAGCCTCGCAGGCGCAGGTGACCTCAAGACCACCACCAATAACCACGACGGGCGCTACATACAGAGCACGCTCTACCCAGAGAGAGAGGACCACCATAAATGCCCCGAGACCAGTGCCTTCTCAACGTAGTTCTGAACGTAGCCCACCAACGCCCGGCTTCGATACGGCTGATGCCATCCACAGATTGGTAGGCATAGCCATCGAAGTCGGTACACAAGTCCTGGCCGATATAAGGGCCGGGACAGATCCTATCACCGTCGTCATGAAGGCACTGGCAACACTACTGGCAAGGCATTACGGAGGACAGTAACCTGCGTCTGCTTTACTGGAACCCGGACGGGATTCGACAAAGGATCCATGAACTCCGCACGGTCGCCCAGCAACAGGACATCCAGGTGATCTTGCTGGGTGAAACCAAGATAAGACCAACAACGCATCTAAAGCTGCCTAACTACACCATGTACAGGAGGACCTGCCAGACTTCCAGACGATGCGTTCAATCGGCATAAAAATGGAGGCGGCGGGCGAGGAACTAAGAATTTTTGCTTAACTTACCGCCCGCCAGGGACTTCATTTCCCTCCTCAGACATCCGGACGGTAATGGAAGGTACGGCACCCACCATCATCGCCGGGGACCTGAACGTCAAACACCCGGCGTGGGGGTCAAGACTGATCAACCCACCGGGTCGTGAACTACACGACGATGCAGAAAACCATAATTACGACGTTCTAGGTCCCGAGGAACCGACGCACATCTCTACTGACCCTAGGAAGCGTCCGGATGTATTGGACATCGTACTCTCTAGGAACGTCAACTACCGGGTAGTGGTAGAGGTGCTGTATGACCTAAATACACAGCACCTCCCGATTCTGATAACCCTTGGCACTAAGGCAGTGACTTCGCCGCCCAGAGCTGTTAAAACCAAGATCGACTGGAGGCTCTATCACCAACACCTACAGGAGAGACCTCCAGTCCACACACCGATCCACTCAGCGGACGACGTAGAGGCCGCTGCAACCAGAATAACCGCGAGCATCCAGGAGGCCCTCAACGCGGCCTCTACGATCGTCCCTCTCTCGGGGAGAAAAGAGGAGCTGCCGCTGAGAATACGCGTGCAGCTAAATCACAAAAGAGCGCTGAGAAAGCTCTGGGCGCGCACTCGCTGCCCTAGAGTAAAAACAAAATTGAACACCCTATCAGACGAACTGTCGGTTGCAATACAGGCCCACAGAGGAGAGGCCTGGGAGCGGCGCATTTGGAAGGCTGATGAACATCACGTCAGCGACAAAAGTCGCTAATATAAAACGCCTTACCATCAAGGCGCCCAGGACCGGCACACTGTAGTGTGCCGTGAGGAACATCCGGGTAAAGGGGTACACCCCGAGGCCCGAGACCTGCATGGTACTATGCCTTGCAGAAGACAACGACGACGAACGACGTTGCAATTCATTCGTTCTTAGCTTATGCAGAAGACATCGTACTTGCAATTCTTAAAATAAATCTTAGAACTTTTACAGACACGACTTTTCTACAGATTTATTAAATGTATAGATTTAAGAAGGAACAATTGTTTCAAACTATTTACACTCACCGGCACGGAAACTTGGCCAAGCGGTTATCTCGCGATAGCAAAAGCTTTAAGTGTTTCTGATGAATGTTTGTTATGCAAGTATGTCAAAAAATGTTTACCCTCAAGTTCAAGAGGGTAATTCATTATGTTTAAGTGCACCATGACGAATTCTTTAATTTTTAGTTGAATCGGGTCATTTGAGCGACTAAGTTCACATTTTAAATTTGTGTGTTGTGAAAAGTTTACTGTAAGGTTATTCAATTATTGTGATCTTGTGTCTTAATTAAATAACTAAAGGTTGCACAAGCAGTAGCATTAATTGACCAAGGGCTGACACAGCGTGAAATTGCTATTGTGCTTAACGTACCACGGTCCTCAATGCAGTATTCACTGAAACGATACCAGGAGACAGGCCGCTACACCCGCAGGCCAGGCAGTGGGGGGCGTAAGGTGCACATCGGCCCGGGACGATCGTTTTATTGTTATGGAGATTTTGAGAAACCGCTACCTGACCGCTGTTGAGATACGCCAGCGGCTCCAAATCGCAAGAGGCGTTAATGTTAGTGAGCGTACGGTGAGAAGACGAATGGAGGAAGTGAATTTAAAAGCTCGTAGACCAGCACGAGGTCCAGAACTTCTCAGACAGCACCGAGCAGCCCGACTTCAGTTCGCAAGAGAACATGTCAATTGGACCCACGAGCAATAGGCTAGAGTGTTGTTCACAGATGAGTGTCGAATAGCTTTACGTGCTCCAGACGGTCGAGAACGAGTGTGGAGAAAAAGAGGAGAGAGGTTTCTACCCATTACCACCACCCAAACTATGAGTTTCCATGGAGGCTCAATAATGGTATGGGGAGGTGTAAGTTCCGACGCACGTACAGAGTTGGTCATCGTCGATAATCGGCTTACAGCTACTCGATACATCGAGGAAGTTCTTCAGGAGCACGTAATACCTTATTCGGGATTCATTGGACACGACCAATTCCTCCTCATGCACGATAATGCACGCCCGCACGTCGCACATTGTGTAGAGGAATATCTGGAAGAGGTTGGAATACAAAAATTACAGTGGCCAGCTCGTAGCCCGGACTTAAATCCAATTGAGCATGTATGGGGTATGCTCAAAAGAAAGATAAAATCCAGCTCCAAACCGCCACAAACTCTAAATGAGCTCCGAAATGCAGCGCTGGCCGCTTGGGACAGCATACCGCAAGTTGATGTCAGAAACATCATTCAAAGCATGCCAGATCGAATGCAAGCGGTTATCAGGGCTAGAGGAGGAAACACCCGATATTAAAACTGATAGACAATAAAGAAACAGACTTAATTTTTAACTTTGTAGTGTTTTTAAAGTGACAATGGAAAGATGTTAATTTTAGTGAAAACATGTTATCTTGAAAAGAAAAATTTCGGTGAAGTAAACATTAAATTTCTATGTTCTAAAACCATTAGAGACACTTATTGAATGCATCTACCCTTAATTTACTGTTAAAAAAACGTTTCAGTGCAAATAATCAGCAAATTCACGAGTGGCCAAGTTTCCGTGCCGGTGAAACCTATTAATATCAAAAAAGGCACTGTTCGTTCTTGAATATCTCTTCTAGTTCTGGTGATTGTTTAAGCAAATTTCTCAAAGATAACGCTCTATCTTGTATGAAAGATTCCATATTTTGATTTAAATAATGCGGTATTAATGAAGCGTCGATTTCATTTCTTTTTACATTTTCTGCAAAAAAATCCAACATATTGTTAGCCACTTTCTCATCAAAACATGTGCACAAATATTCAAATTCTTGATCGGAGTATTGAGTGCCGACGTCTTTCATTATATGTTTGGGTAAAGGTACTGGTTTTGGTAGATCTTTCTTTGGAACACCTCTATCTTTAGCCTTTTGAACAATTTTTTTTAAAGTATTGAGAGAACATTCTTCGTAGTTCGGTAAATCCGGATAGTCAAACGCAGACATTTTTCTCATGTATGCTGGTAAATGTTCTCGAGGGGGTTTCTTAGCAATTTCGGCACATTTACAGGTTTTAGGTTCCACAAATTTAAAATAACTCTCCAATTTGGGTTCACGAGTGTGCTCTAAGATTTGTTCTTTGGATAATTCTTTACTTTCTGACGTAATCTCTGGTAATAATATATTGTCACTTCTTTGTTCAATTTTTGTTGAACCTGTAGCCTCTTGTTGTATAATGTGGTTACTGAAGCAATGGGGCAGTTTACAAAAACAACAACATTCAATTGGAACATTTTTTGTGTTTATCATTTCTTTTTGTAGTATTTGCATCATAGAACTCTGATCCTTCAACTCTAGTAATTGATGTGATGGAGTGCATTTGACGGGAATGTCGTAGGTATAATCATGATCGTCTTCCAAAGCTTGGACTTCAATTTGTTCACTGTTCAAAACCTGCTCAACTTTATCAGCAAACTGTTCTAAGTTGTCGCAAGCTGCGTAAATGCATCTTTTATTTACAACTATAACAGGTAATTGAGCTGTACTGGAAATACTTTGCTTCGAACAGATCTCAGAGTTAATCGATGGTTTAAGTCCTTCATCACAGAAGAGAAAGAAGGGGCGAGGTTCAGAAACAGGTTCACGGATTTTTTCTCTTTCTGGCTCAAACAAGCTTTCGACGCTGGGGTTATCAACGGCTGCACCCAGCTGTAACAACAATAACTTTTCCACATTTAAAAAAAAGTCGGCTTGCTCGGGTATTGTCTTCAAGGTATAAGCAATAAATTCTTGAAATTTTTTTACAACTTGGCATATTTTTGCTTTCCATACCCAATTAAGTTTTTCACGCTCTTTTTCTTTCTCCTTAGCGACTTCAATTTCGATATTATTCCTTGCGATTTCTTCCGTCAACATTTTGACTACTTTATAATGTTCATGTTTAGATTGGTTTTTTAGTTTTTCACACCCTTCTTTTTCTTTTAATGCGACATAGATCTGACAAGCTAGGTTTTGGCACTCTAGCAATTTTCTTAGTTTCTCTATAGCTATGTGTTTTTCGACATTAATATCATGTATCTTATTACCCAGCTCAGTTCGTAATTTTTCGACGTTACAGATGAATTGCTCTTTGAGCTCTATCTTTTTATTGTGTAAATTTTTCGTGTAACGGTCATACAGCATCGTGGCTTGTTGTTTTACTAACGTTTTATAATTAGTCAACATTTTTGAATGAACTTCGTTTCGTACGCGTTCAATTTCCTTTACGGAAGCATCTAAAAGTAAACTTTCAATTCTATTAATAGATGACGTATATAGCACAGTGAATTCATGAAAGGCATCCTTTATTTTGTTAGTATTTCGCTGAGCAGCTTTTTTAGAAAGTTCCTTGTTTTGTTTTTCACATATTTGTTCTATAGCGCTTTTCCAATTAACGTCGCTCTCGAGCAGGGCTTTTCGTTTTTCTACCTCTTGACTCTTTAAATGATGTTCAATAATCGTGTCCCCAAAAAAATCTATTCCGTTGAAACCTAATTTTGAGAGAAATTCTTTTTTCAATGGCTTAAGTACTGACCTTCCCTTCAAAAGATCATCCGGGGGAACATACCAGTCACTTCCACCACCTTTTAAAGGAGGTTCTAAGCCAGCAAGAACTTTAAGTTTGGGGGTCATGGATTTGAAATAAACTGTGGCCAAAGAAGGCGACATGGTTTTTATAATCACGCTTTGTGTAGGGACTTCATCCTTTTCTAAGTAACATTCTCTGAGATAATAATTATCACTGTATTTGTTCATCACTTGTAATGAGACCAAAAGGTGTAATTGTAAACGCTCTAAAAATATGTCAAAGTTGACATTTACGTCGACATCTATTTCAATTTTTTTTTAATTGACCATAGGACAAATGCCTTTGCCTACGCCCAGCATTGGTATTTGGTCCATATTCATTTTGATTCATTTTCTATATTTTATCAAATTACACTTCTAATTAATACTGAACCGTAATTTTATTTAGATAATAACAACCTATTTCATTTTTATGATAAAAGTAAACGATAGCTCGAAGCCCCGGTGTTGTTTACTCGTATAACATGCGTATCCTACGATAAGTCAATTATAAATATACCTTAGCTTTTTCTTCTGAAAATATATGCTGTTGGCCCTGCGGCCTTTACAGCTTCATCGAAATAGACTCGTTTGTGAGGACCCACGAGTGCCCTATTGCAGTTCCAAGGCACCCCGGCCCCCGCTTTTGGAGTGAGGCTCTTCTAGCTGGGGGGAGGGGGGTCTCGATGTGATTCAACCTCGGTACGAACGTAAGGTTTAAAGTCTTAGCCCACTTACATGACTCCGCTCCCACCCGGCAAAAATAATATAATTCAAATATGGGCTTTAAGTATTCCTCTTTAGATATATTTTACATTGGCAACGTAAATTAGCAGACAGCTCGCTGACAGCGAGCTTACCGCTATCAGGACTGACGCCTCGTTGACCACGCGCTGCAAGCAAGCGGTCTGCGCGGCGTCCACGCGCTGACTTATAGCGGTCGCCGCGCCGCGCCCGCCGGTCGGCCGCATTTTATGCACCCAAAATCTTCGTCTGTTGTTTTTTGAGCTTCTATCTTCATCGTCAAGTCCAATAGTAATAATAGCTAGTTCGCGCGTTGTGAATCGAGACATAGCAAAAATACGAGTTATTTTAATGGAAACTGACCACGAATTGTGTCTATCGCGAAAAGCGAAAGCGGTCAGCGCGTGGACTGGCTGGGTGCCTGCTAGCTGTCGCTGCGTAGACTGCTGGGTGCCAGCTAACTGTCGTCTTAGTTCAGGGCGGTATTGGGTAGGAGCGGTGTTGCAGCAGACTCGTGTAAGTGGGCTAAGACCTTTAAGCCTTGGCTTGAAACACTATTGTAATAAGAGAAATTATACCTTAGACACTGACCTCTATGTATATATATAGAGGTCAGTAACCTTAGAGTAACTACATACATACGTATGCATAGAGAGAACCTACAATTCTACATGAATTAAGCAGGCAAGAAGACACAAATATATTCAAAGATGTTGAGTGTAATTTTTTTTTATTGATCCATCAACATTTGTATCATTCCTTACATGCTATTTAAATACAATGAAGCGATAAGAACTAAAATGTACAAATAATTACAGGCGGATACAACATGCAAATAACTTTCTCAGCACTGTGTAGCTCTATTACTAGGTTAAAGAAAGAATTAAAAAGTAAAAGAAATTATAACTAAATACAAATAAAAATATATAGAAGCGAAAAGGAAAGAACAAATTTTATAGAATGTTGCAAAAGATGGTCTCTTTTGTAACATTCATGCGTGGAAATAGAAATTTGCTGCGGAGGCAAGAAAATGTCCCACTGGAAGTTAACCAACAAAAACAGTGGGATATACCGTTGGTATGGAGTGTCCAGAAAGATTTATTTCACAATTTCCACAGTGATCAAGATCAGGCTCGCCTTCTAGCTGTTTCGACTAATTTATCACCCTTAAGGTAATTTTTTTTTCCAAATGTATAATACAATTTCGAGGTATACCCTATCCATTAAAAAAAGAACTATCAAAATCGGACGACTCTGTAAAAAGTTATGCGTGCTCATACATAAAAAAAAATACGCGTCGACTTGAGAACCTCCACCTTTTTTCGTCGGTTGAAAAAAGAAGTTACCGCACTGCAATGCTATTGATTACCGATTGATGATTATAAACAATAAGTACAATAATTTGCATAAATATAAACAACTATTTAATCAATATTTAGTTGACGTAACGCTAAAATTGAAACAGAGAAACTTATTTTTATACGACCTAATCAAAAAATTCATCTCCAAGGCGCGCGCAAGAATGAGAATGGTCTGATTGATGGGATGAAATTACAAACGAACTTTTGACAGGGCAGTTGACTTCTGATCGACATCAATGCAAGGTTTGATATTTAAAAAAAAACTAAAAAAAAAATTGATACGGACTTTTGCTGGATTGTTCAATTTTCACCAGTACTGCCGTGAACTTTTAGACAACATTTGAAATGTCGAACTTTTTAAGTGTAAAATCTATTTGCAAGTATGTCAACAAAGGTTCATACTTGGCGGTATTTCGTGTAAAAAATTAACGAAAAAGTGACATCATATCAAAATGGAAGATGTATTAGTAATTCTGAAGCAGTCTGGTGCACATTTTCATTTCCAATTCACCAACATTTCTCCGCAGTAACACATCTGGATATCCATTCATAAAATGGTCAAAGAATTTCTTCTGAACTATACAATGTCCGTGGAGTGGTAGAAATTTCGAGAAATACGTCACTAATGCCTTTTTTTGACCGGCCTGTGCCATAACGACGAATTCGTAGCCACTTTATTGTATGAAGATGTACCAGGTATTACACAATTTATAAACAAATTGAACATTCCAATGGCGACGCCGAGGTACTCCTGTGGACATCATATCCACACATCCATATTTCACGAGCATACTCTTGGTAGATTTTTTTAAAGGTAACCCCCTCCCCTACAGGGATTTACTCCTGTATCGTAGAGGCAGTTTACAAACATAAATTGCACAAGGACAAACATCCAGACCCGGAACAATTATTTGTAAGCCATACAAATATTTGTTCCGTTCGGGATTCAAACCCGCGGCCCACAGCGCAGCCACTCATCGCTAAGCCACTGCGCCACGGAGTCGTCAAATTTATACAATTCATCCTAATAATCGGGAATGTTATAATCTAAGGTTGTTATTTAATGTTGTCAAGGGATCAACTTCTTTCGAATGCCTCAAAAGTGTGAATGGTATTTATACATCCTACAAATCAAGCAGTATGCCTAGTACTTGGTTTACTAGAAGGCGATAATCACTGGTGCAACACATTAACATAAGATATAAGCAGCAGCGCATTTAAATAGCGAGAGCTATTCGCCATCACATTGGTATTCTGCAATGTTTCTAAGCCCTGAAAGTTATGAGCTTTCAGCAAAGTTAGAAAGAATATTTAGTTAGAACATAGCATATCAGCAGTCATCAAAGTTATGAGGTAAGTTATGAGTCGTAAATGCTCATTTAGAAAACTTTACTAATTCTGGTTTGTTTGCGCTACAATTCATCCTTCTTTTCTTCTCATTATGGTTTACCACCTCCACAAGCGACCGATGGAATTGTTGTAATAAAATCTTTTTAATTGAAAACTCCTTGGTTTCAAAAATCGAATACCATTTATTTATTTAAAAAAAGATTCTCGGTCTTGTCACAAGGTTTTGTCAAACTTGTTTAGTCGTTGAGAAAATGGAATTGACTCGAGAAAATTCAAGAGCGATGATTTATTATGACTTTCGAAGTGGTTTAACACAAAAACAGTGTGTTGACCGGATGATTTCTGCATTTGGTGATGAAGCCCCATCCAAAACCACAATTTATCGCTGGTTTGCTGAATTTCAACGTGGACGTGTCAAGCTCAGTGATGATCCCCGTCAAGGTCATCCAAAAACTGCAGTCACCCGAGAAAACGTTGAGGCTGTGCGTAAGCTGATTGAGGAAGATCGACATGTGACATGCCGCGAAATTCAAGTAACTTTAGACATTGGCATGAGTCAAATACAAATAATCTTGCATGAACAATTAGGTGTAAAAAAGTTGTTTTCCCGATGGATACCGCATTCGCTCTGTGAAGAGCAAAAAAGCGGCTCGCGTTACTTGGTGCGTCAGAACTCTCGAAAGATTCCATGCAGGATCCTCAAATGCTGTATACAACATCGTATCAGGTGACGAATCCTGGATATACGCGTACGAACCTGAAACAAAAAACCAGTCACGAGTTTGGGAGTTAAAGCTAACACAAATTGTGTTACGGAGGAAAATGGTGGCAACGTTTGTCTCCAAAACCGGCCATGTTACGACTATCCCTCTTGAGGGACAAAGAACGGTTAATACAGAATGGTATGCTAGTATTTGTTTGCCACAGGTCGTTTCTGAACTCCGTAAAGGGAACTGCAACCGGCGTATCATCCTCCATCACGTCAATGCGAGTTCTTACACCGCACACAGAACAAAAGAGTTTTTAGAGCAAGAAAACATAGAATTATTAGACCATCCGCCGTACAGCCCCGACCTAAGCCCTAATGATTTCTATACTTTCCCTAAAATAAAGAATAAATTGCGTGGACAGAGATTTTCATCACCTGAAGAAGCTGTGGACGCCTACAAATCGGCCATTTTGGAGACCCCAACTTCCGAATGGAATGGTTGCTTCAATGATTGGTTCCATCGTATGGAAAAATGTGTCAAATTTCGCGGAAAATACTTCGAAAAGCAATAAATAAATTTTTCAATAGTAATGTTGTGTCACTTCCTTGATTCCCGAAATTTTCAGGGCCGCCCTCGTACTGCTAAAGATGGTGGTGTATATTTTTAGACGGTCCAGGTGGTACCGGCAAGATATTTTTCATTAATCTTTTACTGGCCAAAATATGTTTAAAAAAGGATTACCGTAGCTGACGCATCTTCAAGAATAGCTAAAACGTTACTTCCAAAGGGGAAAACAACATATTCCGTTTTTAAAACACCAAGACAAGCAGAGCGTATGGAAAATTCCGCTGAATTGTATAAAAATAGTCATAAAACCAAAGAATAAGATTGTGCCTTTGTTGTGTGGGACCTTTGAGTATTCAACCAACTGGAGAGGACATGCGCGTTAATTCCTAAACCAAGTCTGTCAGATTCGAGGGGGGCGCTAGAAAAACACACTACTGTATACTTCACTACAAATGCA